CTTTCTTTCTTTCTTTCTTTCTTTCTTTCTTTCTTTCTTTCTTTCTTATTTTTAATTGTTATTCTTGCAAGGAAATACCATGGGGAACATCTTTCTAAACATCTTAGCTGTCACTCATCCTTGAAGTTTAGTTTAACACAGGAACCCAGCCTTATCTCCTCAGTACTCAGGCAGGTGTAAAGAAAGGGAAGGAAAAGAAAAAGGCACAAAGGACTAAACATGGATGCCATTAAACTGAACAGTGGCTACATGGGACGACAGTTTGTCAGAGGGTACTTAAAAGACAATTCTCGTTCCCAGAAGGTCAGCCATATCTCAGCTCAGGACACTGGCTTTAATGTTTATTTTGTTTTTAAATATGAAGCAGAGGGGTAGCAGAGAAGAAGTGACATCGGTTTTGTTTTTTACACATTCCCCTCCTCCAGGCAGGTCTGTAGGGTCAGACCGCTAAAGTTGGGATGTGGAATCAGCTTTCATTCTCATTAGGGGACAGTTCTTTAAACATGCACAGCCAGAGTGTCCAGGATGGTTTTCCTTTCTCTCTTTAAATGCTGCGGACAAGAAAGGTGCCCACTTTGCAAGGAATTCTACGTCAATGTCCCAGGAGCCCTGATGCTCTTCAGCCTCCTCTCAGAGACTTAAAGGATAGCGCAGAAGAATTTCTTCTCCCGAAAAGGGTTTTCCGAAGCTGGGACCGGGGTCAGCAGAGGGTCTTCCTTGGCATGTGCCTCACAGTAGGCCATCAAGTCCGCAGCTGCCTTGGACACCTGCAAGGGAAGGCAGAAACATCTGAAAAGACAGGCTGGCATGGACCCAAACTCAGTCACTCAGGACGCAGCTTTGGGGTCCACCCCTGTGGGGCTGTCTCATCCTCTTGCAAACCTCTTGAAAACCAAAGTATGAAAGTGAAGAGAGACACCCCACCTGCATAAGCTCTGCTTCCTGGTCTGGAGACAAGGTTATCAATGAAACTGAGCTGACAGCACTGTTGCCAGCAGGTGGGGATCTAGAGTGAAAGAAGCGAAGCACTTCAGGCCTCAAGCAAAAGAGCCACTCAGTATCAGAGGCGTGCAAGTGCCAACCCTGGTCTGATGCTTTTGGGCCCTCATACCTTAGTTGTTGTACCTGAGTCCCAGCACTAGTGACAAGGATTATACAAGTGAGATAACCCAGGAAAGACATCCAGTCTCACATAAAGGAAGCTTTCTACATAGGCTAACCACTATTATCTTCACATAGCCATGCCCCTGCTTTTGGAATTCTTCGAGGGATGCCTTTAGCCAGGCTAGTGTCCCTTTTCTAACTAGGAGGCATAGCTTCATGTGTATAGATAGGCACACGTGTGTCTATGCATGCACAAGTATAGATATGCATGCACACACACAAGCTGATATCATACGGTACAGTACATATACATTACGGTATCACTCTGCGACTCCAGCCACGAAGGTTGCTGTGAGAGGGGCTTCCCTGCTTTGGGGGATGATGTGCTGCACATTTCGAGCTCCTTTTTGGCAGTGTGCTTTCCTTTGTGGTTGTTGCACATTTTTGTTACATGAGGGGCTAGATTTAATCTTGAGAAATAAGCTGACATCTGGGGAGGAGGTAGGTGATCCCCAGATGACTGCCATTGGGAATCAGAAAACAAAGTCAGTGGTTGGTTCTTATATGACATGGTACACTTGTGCTTTGCTTATGAAAATACTGTAAGGTGTGGAAGTCTCTCACTGTGACTACAGCAAGGGTAATCTTCCCTAAGGTTTGGGCAGATTATACTATTGCTGAAGATATCCTCACTGCATGTAGGGCCCAGGTATCTACACAGTGATGTCAGACTCAGTTATAGCTCAAGTAATTTGTTCTGGCCAATGAGATGTGAGCAGAATTTGATAATTGTTTTGAGGGAGAAGAATCAACGTGTGCCTTGCCAGTCACTCTTCCCTCAGCCACGGTGCCCATATGAAGCAGTAATTAGGACCTCCTTTTCTCATTCACAGGTTTCCATGTAGGGATCAATGGCCATACCCTTGTTTGGGTCCACACCCTAGGACCAAGGGGCTTCGGTGCTCATCATTTACAGGAACATCTGTTTTATGATTAACAGGTTGGACATGGAAATCAATTTCATATTCTCAATCAATAACGCCCAGCTTTTCTTTCTCTGTTCTCATCACCACAGACAGAAGCACTACTCTGGAGAGACCCTGCTCCATAGGCCAGGGCTCCTGATGACAGTGACATGGTCTGGAGTGGCAGCAGACTGACTAGGACAGATCTCATAGTAGCTCTGTAATCATAAGCCTACTTTGTTCTTGACATCAAGTTCAAATTTTTCTTGCTCTGTATTAGGAGTGGGAAGTAGATCTGTGTCGGGAGTGCCAAAGATGAGGACAATGGTTACTGCCGGGAGGCCCAGCCTGCCCTGATTTGGATACAAACACTGATATATGTACGTGTTTCCCATGGCTGCCCTGATGCAGCATTACCAACCAGGTGGCTTACAGCACTAGAAATTTGATGTTTGAAATTAAGGCGTCAGAAGAATTGGTCCCCAACCCTCTGAGGGAGAATCTGCTCCACACTCTCAGCACCTACAACAACTGCAATGTCTTTACATGGCACTGTTGTCGCTATTGTTCAAATCCTGTCAATCATTGGGTTAGGGTCTACCCTACTCAATGTGACCTCCTACTAACTTGTTTACACCTGCAAATACCCTGTTATCAAATAAAGTCACATTCTAAGATTCTAGGAGAACATGAATTGAAGGGGAGGGGAGAGTACTATGTAGTATAGCATATTTGTTCCAAAATCTATCTCCTTAATAGACATTACAGCACTTATGAAATGGTTTTATTGTGCTCCCATTTTGTTGCATGGAGCCATCTTTTATTTTCTGTCATCAACAGCGCTTAAGTAAAAATCACTATCTGCCTTCTGCAGATAAAAACTTGAGAATTGGCAGATTCCAGGAGCTGATTCCCAGACAGGCAGCAGAAGAAGAACTTGGACTCTGATGTTTTGCCATTAAGCTGCATGCAAACTCTTTAAATGCCTGCCTAGTTCCGGAAGTGAAAACTAATTCTTCCTGCACCTTTACTAAACCTGACAATGGAAAATGAAAGGAAATGGCCTTTTCTAGGCGTAGCTCCCCCAAATGAGGGCAAAGGTCAGAGTTTTGAGGAGAAATTGTAACTGTTTTTCCCCCTATGACTTTTACTTATTTGAGCAATAGTCATCAATGTGTTAAATAGGAGCTTAACTGCTAAGCAGCAGAGAGTGTAAAACAGCAACACTGCAATCACATTTGTTAGGAAGAGATTTGGTACCAGCTACACCTACTCATGCACGATGCTCATACACAAACACATGCATGAAGTATCTGAAGCACTTTTTGAGATTTTATTTTCATTTTATGTGTATGAGTGTCTAGCTGCATGAATGTCTGTGCGTCCCATGTGTATCTGTGCACCTCATATGTACAGTGCTCCAGGAGGTGAGAAGAGAGCATTGGATCCTCTCGATTGGAGTTATGGACTGTTGTGAGCTGCCACAAGGATGATGGGAATCAGGTCTTCCTGAAGAGCAGCTGGTGCTCTTAACCAAGTCATCTCTCTAATCCTCAAAGTGCTTTTTAAGGTACAGAAGATACCAGGGTGGGAGAAATTAATGATGTGAAGTTGTTCACAGCTTATATTTGATCAAATGACTCTGAATAATTCCCTTTTCAAAATATTTTTTTCTTCATTAGACTGCAGTCTCTTGCAGATGATGATCTGACACATCTGAATCTTTCTAACAGCTGGAATAAGTGCTGATATTTTTGACCTTTGTTTTGTGTCAAAACTATCTAAACTACTTTGTCCAAATGTTGTAGTTAACCTGTAGAACAGTAGTATGAGTCTGTAAGATATTAATATCCTCATGTTTTGTTCTGGTTTTTTTTTTTTTTTTTGAGACAGGATCTTACTATGTTGCCCTGGTCCTTGCTACGTATATGTTATAAAACTCGGGATCCCTAGGTTTCAGCTCAGAAGCAGCCAAATGTGTATGTTCATGTTCCTGGTTTAATCTCTACCTGAACTGTCAGGTGTGTTTCTTACCTTACAGTAAATTATGCGACATTCTGTCTAGATCTCACGTTTTGTGGTTATCCTTTCTAACACTTTGCTACTTTTTATATTCATTTGCCTAGTTGTTCTCAGAACTTTAGAACAGTCTTTACCTTTTCTGTGCTTTTTATTCACTCCCCCCCCCCCCAAAAAAAAAAAAAAAAAAAAAAAAAAAAAAAAAAAAAAAAACCAAAACCTACATTTAGATCCCTTACTGTCATCTCCATTCCAGCCCCATAGTTTGAAGCTCCATCTTCTCCTGGACAAATGAAATAACTGCTTAGATTAAAAAGTGGTTAATTGGGTTCCCCAGTGGGCCCAAAGATAGATTTTAGAATGGTCTATGAATTTTGATGACAAAAGTTATTCCTTTATTTTCACTAACCTCAAGTAGAAACTTATCATATCCTTTCATCATAAACATGGATACTAGCATGAGCCAAACAGGTGAGTCAGTCAACAGAATTAGATATTTTGAATCATATTACAGTCATCTTCATATCTCAACATTTTATCTATCTTTATCCACTTATAGGCATGGTATTAGACACTGCATAATAAAGGAACATATCTATAACAATATTATATACTTTTATTATCTATCTATCTATCTATTTATTTATTTATTACAATTTATTTACTTTGTATCCCAGCTGTAGCCTCCTCTAACTCCTCTCAATCCCACCCATCCTCCCTCTTCTCCCCCTATGCCCATTGCCAAGTTCACTGATAGGTGAGGACCTCCTCCTCAATGTTACATTATATATATATATATATATGTATGTATGTATGTTTTGAAAATATTTTTAGAGTTATGCTATTATCTTAAATACTTTATAAAATATTCTAATACATTATATGTCAACATAGTTAGTTTCCTTTGCAATTTAAAAGCACCATTCTGAAAAGGGGACCATAAACCTTAGCAGACAGCCACTTGAGTCAAGGACACAAAAATGTTCAGAAAGCTGGATGACTTCCTTGCTTTTGAAACTGTCACAAGTGGTAGTGTTACACTGTGGCTGTAAAGATAGCTTAAACATCAAGATCACCTTATATAATTCCACATTTGAAACTGTCAGTTCTTTTCAAGTATACTCTGTAGGAACACAAAAACAACATATTCTAGCCTGTGGGTTGTGAACATGTTAGACTCGCTCTTCTCCAGTCTCATGTCTTCATACTTTTCCCCTTTAATTCTGAAAGCTCGACAGTCCTCTCTGCCTTATAGTTTTCTATATATGATTCTAAAGAACTGTCTTTCCTCAAATCCTCTGCAGCCTGTTTTAGTCCTAGGAATCAACAGAAATCTGGCTCCTGGCAGGGCACTCACAGATCATTTTGTCCATTCTGACTTTCTTCATCTTTTCCTGTCCAAGCAGTACATTCTTCTCACTCACAGAAACCACGCCCCTCCCCGGTGTGATTACCCTTCTAGTCTGTTTACTGGCTGCTTACTATTTTCTAGCCCTTTAAGTACTATGCTGTATGGGAGCAGGAACTTTAGCTGCCCCGTTCACAATCATGTCATCAGTGCTAACCCATAAAAGAGATGCAAGTAATTGCTGAAGGAATTCTCAAATGTAACCTTAGTCAACAGATATTTCATTCAACCAACAGTTGCCATGTGCCCAATGCTCCATGTATACGTTCTA